TACAACATGCCTTAGGAGTCAATGGTGATTATTAAGAACAAAGTGAGGTGCATTATTGTTATATCACATTTGCCCTAAATATGAGCTATATATAAGTCAGATGAAATTTTATAACCAATTTATGTATCATTCCGCTTTACAAAATGCTCATTCTCTCAAGTTCTTCTTACATCATATTACTGAACTGAAGGATCAATGTTGAAGATGATCTTTTGTTACTAAATAATTTGGTCAGCTTTTTTTGTAGCGTCCCAATTAAATAGTTCTGACTTTTCATGGGTTGATTGTTATTTAAGGAATTTTAAAAATTTGCAAAAACTCTATTTTATTATATTCAGTGTTTTCAATAATTATTAATGAAATACATAATCAGTGGAAAATACAGAGAAGAAAATAAACAAATCCCATTAGCCAGAGTTATTAATATACATTGCTAACATATATTTTTTCTCAGTATTCCTTTTTTCTAGGCATATATACCTGTGTTAATGACAAACCATCACAAAACTTAATGGCTTAAGCCATGGTAACTATTTAGCTAATGATTCTGTAGATCATCAGTTTAGGCTAGGCTTGGCTGTGCTGCCTCATGCATTTGTGGTCAGCTGCAGAACAGCTTGCCTGGTCTTGACTGGGCTCTCACATGTTTAGGGCCTGTGGTCAGTGTGTTCTCTCCTCTGCCACAAACCTGCGTTTGCTTACACAGTGGACTCTAAGGCCCCTAGAGAGAAAGCAGAAGTATACAAGTCCTCGTGAACAAAAGGCTTGGAGTTGGTATACCATTATTTCTGCTGTTTTCCTATAGCCAATGCAAGCTAAGCCACAGTCTAGCCCAGAATTCAAAAGGTAGAAAATAAAATTCAGGCTTTGATGGGGGAAACTGCAAAGTCATGTTGCAAAGGGTGTGGAGATAAGGAGTGAAGATTTCTGGGCAGTTTTGCAATTTACCACTCTGTGTGTGTGTGTGTGTGTGTGTGTATGTGTGTGTGTGTGTGTGTGTGCGCGCGTGCATGTATGTACGTATATGAAACCTAAGAGCATACACAATTATACAGTCTCTACATTTTTATCACCAGATATGCTCCAAATCCAAGTTGCTAATCCAACTCTTGGTATATTGGAGAAATTAAATAAATTCTTATATGGGAAGTGCCTCAACAGGTCTCTATAACAGAGGAGGTATTCAATAAATAAAAGTTAAAAAAGAAAAAGAAAGTATAACTTCGTTAGGCAACTCTTTGCTTGAATTCCATTAATCCTGCTTCTTGGTTGGTTTTATTTCTTCTCTGATTTCCTTCCATGTTTGCTTCTCCTAATTGACAATACCAAGCACTCATGGTATTGCTCTAGACCACCTCTTACCAGCCCTGAGAGCTTGGGAAAGTCACTTGACTTTGTATCTCCATTATATCATCTATTTATTCAAAAGGACAACTACTTCACACCATTATTAGGAGAATTTAATAAACTCATGTATGTGGGCATATATTGAAAATTCTAGATATGTTGTTTCCCAGGAACTCTTTTATGCATTTGTGGAATGTCTGTAACATTTTCTTACTTAACATCTTTACATCCCCATTGTCTCTAACTGGCTCTAGCTTTTCTTTAAATGAAGTATGTATTTATTTAAGCCACTGTTTGTTTCTGCTTAGTTCATGTTAAGGAAAATTCAGCTTTCACAACCTTAGCTTGCACACTAATCTTCAAAACACCACAGCCATTTCTTTAATCTGATGGAGTCCCTGGCATAACGTCTGTCTTCTCTGATCAGAAATGACATTCTTAACATCAATAGATTCTTAGGCTTTTCTGACAGGAAATATTTTTGAGGATGTATAATCAGTTATGAAGTATGCTTGTCAATAAATTTTTCCTGCAAAAATAAATCAGAAATCCTATCAAAATAGCATTATGAAAGAATCTGTTTTCCTTAGTATTCTTTACGAAATGGTCATGCTTGAAGCTTATAATAATTTTTATTTAGATGAAGGTTATATATTTAACTTGTGTGCTGGCCATCTTTCTAACCAACAATCTGCATAAATTTCATGTCCTAATCAGGAAGAAAATGATTGTGATCCAGAGTCAGCCTTTTCCTTAGAAAGCCTGTATCACCTTTCTTTTCCCTGACTGGCCTCTTCTACTTTCCAGACCCTGTGAATTTCACCATAAACTGTCTTTATTTTCTTTCCCTATTCACATGCATGCCCGCCCACCCAGAAAAAGAGAAGCATCTTTCTAAAATGCCCATTTGCTTCTCTTTGTCCTTTACTGGACATTTTGAAAATGCATCTGTGCCCATACTCACAGTTCATTCACTAACTCACTCACCCCTTGTGTATCCATGCATTCACCCATTCCTTGTTCATCTGGCAGCAATGGTGTTATAGACACTGTGCTTGGTGCTGCAGATAAAAAGGCAAGCCCTGTCACTGCCTCGTGGACTTAACCTGTCATAGAGGGACAGTAAATGAAAAGGTCATGTGGTGAGGGCCTTAAGAGAGTTGTAATCAAAGGCCTGGGAGCCCTAGGCATAGGGGGAGGACACCACATGCCATCCCTCCTAGGGAGCATAGCAATGCTCCCAAGATTGACAAGAGTCTGAGGCTGCTACAGTGGGCAAGGTGAAGCGCAGGTGCCTGGATTGCTTCTCCAGTAGTGACTTGAGGCTGGGGTGGGCTTGTCTGTATGCAATCAGGGTGTTTGTTGCCCGGTCGTACACGCCAGTTACTGAGGTGCAGTAGGAAAGAGTGGTTCATTAACCTGGGACTACGTTCTCAGATGTGCTCTCCATTTTTAAAAATGAAGCCAGTTAAGATTTGTTGAGAACCTCCTGCCTGTGAGTGTAGGTATTTTGTGTACTTCATCCTATTTTACAGCAAACCTTTGATGTAAGTATTAGCCCTTCCACAGATGAGCAAACCGAAGCTGCTAGAGATTAAGTAACATCCCTAAGATCACACGGCTAGTAAGAATCAGAGCTTAGAATTCAAATCCAAACCATATTGTCTTCTTTGAGGACAATTTTTGTTAAAACTCAAATTCTAATGAAATATACACTAAAGAACTGCTATCATGGTAAAATACAGTACTTGTAATTCTACCCATGCGCGTGTTTTAGTTGGACAGAGAGAGGCAACATCTTCAGGGAAGCTCTGCTAAAATGAAGCCCTGTTTATCCCATTGTGCCCACATACATTGTGAATGTGAACTCCTAGAGGTACTTGTGACCTGTACAACCTTAAGTAGCTGTCATGGGCCCAGTTTTGGAGTTACGTAACTCTGCATAACTCTGAAGGCACGTAACTGTGCCTTCACTCATATTAACTATTACATATGAGTTCTTTCGCTCTGAAAGGTTCGATTTGTTTCAAGGGAATGGTTGGGAGAATGAAGTAGGAAACTGGGTAATTATTTTAACATATGTAATATACCATCACCTAGCTGTTAAAGATTTTTATTTCAAGCATATAGTGCATTTAAATCACTATAGGCTGCTTACTGTTGTGCTTTGTTAAAATGTTCACACACCTGACTACACCTAAAGGTACAGAAAATTTTCCAAACCAACTCAGCAGTCATTGGGAAATGATTTCTAGGAGGAAAGTGTTCTTTTGTTTTGTTAGGCATGTGGGAAACTAGATGGCAGAGCTCACTGTCTAAGTAAGAGCCCCTTAGGAACATGTTTGTTGGGAGGGGCTTGCCCCTGTCCATATCACGAGCATCCTTGTCCCCAGTTCCTTACTGCAGGCCCTCGTCTCCCACCTGTACTGTTGCAGTAAGCTCCACCATCCCCTTCTCTACCTGTGGTCATACGGACCTGGATCCCTTGTCTTCTATCCCTAAACCCCTCAGTGGCTTCCTTGGGCTCACAGGATAACAGACTCTCTAGGATGGCATAAGAATTGCCCTCCTGGGTAGGGTGCCACGGCTCACACCTGTAATCCTAGCACTCTGGGAAGCTAAGGCGGGAGGATTACTTGAGGTCAGGAGTTCCATACCAGCCTGAACAAGAGCGAGACCCCGTCTCTACTAAAAGTAGAAAAAATTAGCTGGGTATGGTGGTATGCGCCTGTAGTCCCAGCTACTCGGGAGTCTGAGGCAGGAGGATCTCTTGAGCCCAGGAGTTTGAGGTTGCTGTGAGCCAGGCTGATGCCATGGCACTCTAGCCTGGGTGACAGAGCAAGACTCTTGTCTCCAGAAAAAAACAAAAAATTGCCCTCCCCAGGTCCACAGTGGCCTAGGAATGCAGAGTTCTGTGATAGATGGTATGATGGGAAGTGCCCCATCAGTCTTCTATCTTGCCACCTGTGAGACGCCTTCATAACACATACCTGTTGGGCCTGTTCCAGGATACAGGAATCCATTCTAAGTGGATTTGTATATTTGAATCTCCAACACCAGGTCAGGTGCTTGGTGCCCACCATCTAGCTACAAATGGCTGTCAGAGAAATTAATGAATGAATGAATGATTCTCTGGGAATGTCTTCTTTAGGTTTCTAGAATAAAAAAGAGCATAGCACGTTATGTGCAAAGTATTTTAGCTTTTCTGAAATTGAGGGGGAAAAAAAGTAAAACTTCTGATTGACTTGTGAATCTAAATGATAATAAAACTGCATTTCCCAGTAGCGTTCTAAATATCCCTGCAAGGTAATACTGGGATTTAATGAATCCTAGCTTTCTGTAGATACAGATCAGTCTCATAGGTCAGACTGGTCAGACTGTGTGTGTATATATATATATGAATATATTTATACACAAATGATAGATGAATCTGGGTAAAGGGTCAAAAAGTATATTAGTGTTGTTTATACTGCTTGTATTTTGCAACTTTTCTGTAAGTTTGAAATTATTCTTCAGTATTAAGTTAAAAAGTTTTTTTAATATCTCAGCCACACCAATGATTGTTTTCTACATAAATATTTATTTTCTGTTCTTTCTTTTCCTTTCCTCTCTCATATTCTTTTTCTTCCTTTTCTCTCTGTCTCCTCTTTTAGAAGTCCAAGGCTTGTGAGAAGGCCATCTCCGTGGGCCAGACAGTCATCACAAAGCATCGGAACACCCGGTATTACAGCTGCAGAGTGATCGCTGTGACATCGCAAACCTTCTACGAGGTCATGTTTGATGACGGCTCCTTCAGCAGAGACACATTTCCTGAGGATATCGTGGTGAGTAGGTTTCCTTAGGTGGCTGCTACCAAGTGTACTTTTTGTAAAATCAAAGTAGCTGAATCCTTCAGGGAAAAAAAAAATTTTTTTTTTTGTCCTTTCTAGTAGCTCATTGACTTGGTACACAGCCTTCATCATTCTAAATAATATCCAGGTGAGCTTTAGCTGATCTTCCCAAATTGTTTTGAGTGAGAAATGCTATTTGGCCTAGAAATGTAAATGCTGTCCTAATTTGTTTGTGCTGCTACAGCAAAATATCTGAGACTGGGTAATTTAGAAAGAACAGAAATTTATTTCTCATAGTTGTGGGGGATGGGAAGTTCAAGATCTAGGCCCTGGCACTTGGTCTGTTCAGGACCTTCTTGCTTTGTCCTCATGTGGCAAGCCAGCTGAATGCTGGGTGTAGCCTCTCTCAGAAGGGCCTTAGTCCCATTCGTCAGGGAGTAGCTCTCATGCCCTAATCACCTCTCAAAGGCCCCACTTCTTAATACTGTCACATTGGCAACACCTGAATTTTGGAAGACACACACATTTAACCTATAGCATATGCGAATTCACCTTTCCTTTTATAAAGTGATGGAAAATTTGAATTCCTCTATGACCTATTTTTCTTTATGCTTAACCAGAGATTGTAGCTTTTGTTACACTCTTACTTGACAGTGTGTTTAAATCTGTATATGTTTCACATGGAGTAAAAAAAATTACAGAGGTTAAAAGGCTGTGGCATTTACTGAGTTTCTTAGTTGTGGCCCAGACTAGGATACTGTGTGTGTGTGTGTATTGGTGTGTCTCCATCTCCTCCTTCCTCTGTTCCCTCATTGAGCACCGTGAGGCTTACTCAGAGGAACTAGTGAATGTGTATCAGGGTGAAGACTTCCATTGTTTCAGGGCTTGCTGTTTAGCAGGGTGTTTTCACAAAAAGAGTACTTTCAACACAGGGCCTTTCGACGCTGAAATTAAATCCCATAACTGAGATCAGGGTTAGTCTGGCGGTGATGCTGTTATCCCTTCTCCTTTCAGCGGGCACGTCAGTTTGGGGAGCCGAGCTTTAATAATGCAGTTGCCATTGCTGTCTTGCCTGGAGTCTCTGTTGATGCTTTGCTTTTGTTTGTACTCAGAAAGCTGTTTCTTAATGACTCTGTAATGGTAATAATTGTGCATTATGTACAATGAAAATTAGATGTAACCTCAAGAGACTGCTCAAAAATATTTCTAGGATTTTGGTCTCCTGGCATTGAAGAAACATCGATTCAGTTAGCTTTGTTATGCGTACTTCCCTGTGATGTTAAGAATGACAAGTATGTAAACAAAAATGACCTTATTTGAAAGATTTTAAAGCAATTGAATTTAAACAAATTAAAAATTCCAGAACTTGCTCATAAGCCAAAATAGTAAGTTGTGTTACCTGGCAGGATTCTAGGTGGAACAGTACTTTGCCACATTGCCATTGTTAGTCATAACAGCATCCCTCAGGTGTCTGCTCCTTGCTGGAACATGTCCTCCCTTCAAGCCCTCAGTCCACATTCACTGGGTGCCACACATCTCACTGGCTGCTGGGAAACATAACGAGAAAGACAATGTCATCTCTGCTCAGTCTTAGGGGGAGGTGGGCTGGTAAATGGGTGTTTTCTGTACAGCGACCCACGTGGTTCCACGAACCACAGCAGCCTACTACCTCCTGGGTCTGGAAGAATTAGTAAAGGGCTCCAGGATTAGTAAAAACTGACACCAACATTTACCATGTGCTGAGCACTGCTCCACGGATGTGACCCAGGAGCTTAGTGCATTCTAACAACCCCACGTACTCAACATTATTATTTTTCACATTTCACTTCTGAGTAAACTGAGGCACAAACTTGTGACTAACTGTCCCAAGGTCACATGCCCAGAATAAGGTTTGACCTCTTATCTGAGCACCCTGTGTCCCAGGCAATCTGATGTAAAATTAACCATCATAAATACCCTATCCTGGGACACTAGGTCTGTGAATTGTAGATGACTCTTTTCCTCATGGAGCCAGAGCTCTGGCTCCATGGCAGAGTGTATTTTCCTTTTCCCTTGAGCAGCCACAGTATGTTAGTGGGTTTGTAGTCCTCTGTGGATCCACTGTGTTAGCAGTCCTGGTCATCATCTGGCTCCCTAAAATTCAAAGTCATGGGTATAAAAGGCAAACTTCTAAAATTTAAACTGTTAACAAGTATGGAGAGTCTGTGTTTCTTACTGAAATTAATAAAAGCTACATGATTAAATGCCATTGTAGTATGTCAACAAGACTTTAGTTTGATATATAGAAATTTGCTGTTAAATTTTAGGATACATTGTATGTGTATAATTAAGTATATTATATTTTCATGTGTACTTTTTATTTATTCCATATATGATAGAATGTAAATATGTTTATACCACACATCATTATTTAAGCCATAGGGCTTCATTGCTAATAACATTCCACTTCCACCTTTGATTTTTTTTTTTTTTTTTTTTTTTTTTTTGAGACAGAGTCTTACTTTGTTGCCTAGGCTAGAGTGAGTGCCGTGGCGTCAGCCTAGCTCACAGCAACCTCAAACTCCTGGGCTCAACCAATCCTTCTGCCTCAGCTGCCCAAGTAGCTGGGACTACAGGCATGCGCCACCATGCCCGGCTAATTTTTTTTTATATATATTAGTTGGCCAATTAATTTCTTTCTATTTATAGTAGAGACGGGGTCTCTCTCTTCCTCAGGCTGGTTTCGAACTCCTGACCTCAAGCAATCCGCCCGCCTTGGCCTCCCAGAGAGCTAGGATTACAGGCGTGAGCCACCGCGCCCGGCACCACCTTTGACATTTATCTAGATCAGAACAGTCATCTGGGAGATGGGGGCCCTGCTCAGTACCCTAATCGGGAGGTTCATCAGGACATAAGATAAAGTATAAGCAGGCCCATTTCTATCTCAGTGTTTTACAGATCATGGCAGAATGATTATTTATTGGAAACACTAAATACATTCCATATTCCTCAAGAAATCTTGTTTTCCTTAGATGATATACCTGTGGCATCAGACACTGGTGGTAGAAAAAGATTTTTCTTTTGTTTGTCCGAAAACTCTGTAATCCACACACTGTGCATGTCAGGTGTGAGTGTGCCAGGGAGAATCATTCATCAAATGTGGTGTGACGCTGGTGTTCTGGATAATGAAGACCTAGTTTCTCCAAGCCTCGGGTACTTGTTAACTAGAGCTGCTGTAAGGGCACAGTGCAGTTTCAGTTTTCTAACTATGAAAATCAAATTTAGGATATCAAGTTTAATCATCCCAAGCTATTTATTTATATATGACATAAATATAGTCCCTTATGAAGCCTGATAGTTTTGTAAAGAAAGTTACATTCCCTTATTTATAGAGTCGATGATTACAAATCACTTCATAAACTCAACAGATGAGACACCCTTTAATGCAGGCTGGCCTGTGCATGTTTGAGAGTAAATTTGGCAAGCATTAATATGCTTATTTTTAGGATTATGTGACTGGAGAGAGTATTTGGAGTAGTAGGGAGAAACATTCTTTGTGCTACCAGGAAATTTCTTTCCCTACGTAGGTACTTTATTTCTGTGATAACCAGAAAAATGTTCAAAAAATTCTCTCTCAATGATGCACCTGCAGAATGTGTGTATCAGCCCAGTTAAACTCAGCATGCAATCTGTAGCTGTCAAGGGAAGTAATAAAAGATGTATTGCTACACACCTCCATCTGTCAGTCCATGAAATTGCCACATACTCCTGATGAATTTTTTTGTCTTCCTCTATTTTGATGGGAAGGAAAGTTGCCCACCCAAAAGCACTCAATGAGCATGGAGATTCCCGGGCCCTTCTTAGTCTTTGCCAAAATCTGGGGTTCTCTAGCATGCCCATGTTGACAGTACAGTGATGACTGCTTCCTTTCATCTGAACTCTGAGCTCATTTTGAGAGAGGAGGATGGTACAGTGGGCACTTGATCATTCTAGGGTAGGCACTTAACATTCACCACTGGGAGTGAGCAGAGAAACAGGACCATTTAGAAATTAGACAGCAAGATTCCATCACTGGAATTTCCATGAGGACTGGTCACATTTTTCAGCCTCTGTTGAAATGTGAAAGAAGCATGAAAACAATACTGGTCAGGATTCTGGGGATGAATAGTCACAGCCTTTAGTTCTGAGGGCTTTACATGCAAACTAAGGTTCTTAGAGCTAATTTTTTTCCTTCAGACATATGCAGTTTGCTTAAACTTTACAATCTTAGCTTTTTCCCCACTAAAAATGGAAGAATAATTTCCACCTTCAAGGATTATTGAAAGGACTAAAAGAACTAAATGCCTGACACATAGTAGGCCCCAAATCAAATTTTTGGGGATATTAACTTAAGCATGTAGAATTTTTCTTTTTCTTTTTTTCCCCCATCTAGTTTATATGCCTTTCTGGTCATAATGAAATTTGTGTCCTCAGAGCTTTGTTCTATCCTGTCAGGTTGAATGGGAACCTGTACTTGTGGGATTTCGCTGGGTCAGCTAATTGTTTCCACTTGCTGTTAAAGTAGTTCTGGCATCTTTTTGACTTTACATTATCATAGTCTATCTAGTTCCCTACGTTTATGCTGGTATTTTTCTTAGTGTTAAAATTATTATTTCAGTGGTTTTTCATAAGAAACCCTGTCCAAAGTGAGTTCATACTCATTTCATAGATGTAATACTTGCAAAGTCACAAAGAACTATGATTTGTCCAAGTTTCCCTCCCCAAGTACACAGTTGATAGGTTCAGATTGCACGTTCCATTGCTTGTTGCCTTCAGAAGTCTACTCTTGGTGGCTGAGAAGACATCGTGCCTCCTTTGAGGGTTAGACGCAGAATCCATGGACATGGCGTGGGAAGCTTCTCAGTGCTCAGCACCTCATAAGCCCCTACTTGGCAAGCATAGGTGTATGGGGTGATCTGTGTGTTCAGAGGCAAAATATCCAAGTGGTTTTGAGAAAATCAGAAAAAATTAGTTCC